ATCTAGCCACGACCCACTCGTCCACCCATCCATCCATCCACATATCTAGCCACGACCCACTCGTCCACCCATCCATCCATCCACATATCTAGCCATGACCCACTCGTCCATCCATCCATCCATCCATCCACATATCTAGCCATGACCCACTCGTCCACCCATCCATCCACATATCTAGCCATGACCCACTCGTCCACCCATCCATCCATCCACGTTTCTAGCCATGACCCACTCATCCGTCCACCCATCCATCCACATATCTAGCCACGACCCACTCGTCCACCCATCCATCCACGTGCCACCCACACATTTAGCCACCCGTCCGCCCACTCATCCTCCCACCCACTCAAATCCATACGTCCACATGTCCATCCACCCATGTGTACATCCGTCCACCTACCCAACTGTCCACCCACTGACCGTCCATCCCCTAGCCATCCATTCTTATCTTTGGTCAGCACTTATTTATAGAAGACCAGCGATGTGGGTGCCGGGGAAGAATTGTGGGGGAAGCCGAGGGGGAGGAGTGGGAGCAGGAGATGACCCGAAGGCGCCTGGGCTCCTGCAGTGAGGACGCGGCAGACGCTGGCCGAAGGGAAGGAGGGAGGGAGACGGGCCAAATGGCGGCCACCTGAAGATGTCCTAATGCACAAACCCTGAGAACGTGAGGCCTCACTTGTGGCCAGAGAGACTGGGGACACGTGAGGTGAAGTTCCTGAGTGCCTTCCCGGGCACGTGGCTGTGGCAACCTTGTCGTGGATTGCCCCGGTGGTCCTGTCACCACAAGGTCCCTAGGAGAAGGAGGCAGGAGCACCTGCTCCTCGAGTCCCTGCGCCAGCTTCGCACACGCCTCCCTCCTTCAGGTGGGCCACTGCGGGTGGGACCAGCATGGCAGCTCCTCTGTCCTCCAACCCGCGGTCAGCCTCGACACCAGCTTGGTCTACCTGTCCTCCTCCACACCCTGCGCCCTTCTGGCACCAGGACCACTTCTGCCCTAAGTGAGCCCCAGGCGCCACAGAATGGGTCTGTGACCACTTTGGCCCAAACTCAGCAAAAGCCGCCTTTAAAAGGCGCGTGTAGCCTCCTAACTCCCAGAAGTGATGAGTGCTGTTCCCAAGGCCATCACGCACCCAGTCAGCGTTCGGATTCGCTTTACACCTGTGTGGGCGTCGGGGCCCAGCAAGGTGGCTGGTGGACAGGGTCCTTGGCAGCCGGACTCCTCTCCTGGTCTGTCTCTCCCCGCCTCCTCCCCCTCCTCCCTCCCCCTCCCCCCTCTTCCCCTCTTTCTCCTTTTCATCCTTCTCCATTCCACTGGGTTTAGCACAGGACGTGTGTGGGGTTAAGGCAGGGAAGCTGGGGAGGCTGTAGCCAGAGGGCTGGAGAACCTGCCATGAGGACGCAGGAGCTGGGAGTGCTCCTGCTCCTTCTCCTAGGGACCTTGTGGTGACAGGCCCACCTCAGCAGCTGGCCCACGTGGCTTCCTGGACCCTGGAGCAGGGGCTGGAGGGGGGTGGGTGAGGCCCCTGGTCTGGGGGAATGGCTCCTCTGACTCACCTCCAGCTCTGCCCCAGTTCCTCTCTTGGAGAGTCCCGAGCCCTCCGGTCCCATCGGGGAGCACAGTTTGCAGGCTTGGGGTGGGGCGTGAGGGCCACAGCATGTGGCCTCTGCCCTCTGTCCGAGCAGTCCCTCTGGACTTCTTCTGAGGGGATGCAGGGGTTTATTTGGCGACGTCCCCAGGAAGTGCTACAGGTGGAGTGGGCACAGGAAGGGAAGGGAGGATTAGAACCCAGGCCCGCCTTGCTTCTGGGGCTCTCCTTTCCAGCTGGCTCTTGCCTCCTCCGCCTGCTCCGAGGATCATGACAA